GTAGGAATTTACTGAGTAATTTACTGAGAGTTTACTGGAAATTTGCTCAGTAATTTACTGAGAAGTTACTGGAAATTTGCTGAGTAATTTCCTGAGTAATTTATTGAGAATTTACTGGAATTTTATTGAGAATTTATTGGGAATTTATTGAGTAATTTACTTGGAATTGAGTGAGAATTTACTGGGAATTTGCTAAGTAATTTGTGAGAATTTACAAGGAATTTACTGAGAATTTACTAGGAATTTTCTGAGTAATTTACTAAGAATTTACTGAGAATTTACTGAGTAATTTAATGAGAATTTACTACGAGTTTACTGAATAATTTACTAAGAATTTAATGGAAATTTACTTAGTAATTTAGTTAGAATTTACAAGGAATTTACTGAGAAATTTCTAGAAATTTACTGGGTAATTTACTTAGAATTTACTGAGAATTTACTAGGAATTTATTGAGAATTTACTGGGAATTTCGTGAGTAATTTACTCAGAATTTACTTTGAATTTATTGAGTATTTTCCAGGAATTTGCTGAGTAATTTACTGGGAATTTGTCGAGTAATTTAAGGAGAATTTACTAAGTAATTTTCTGTAAATTTACTAAGTAATTTATTGAGAATTTTCTGGAAATTTAGTGAGTGATTTACTGGGAATTTACTCAGTAATTTACTGAGAATTTACTTAGTAATTTACTGAGATTTTACTGGGAATTTACTGAGTAATTTACTCTGAATCTACTATGAAATTACGGAGTATTTACTAGGAATTTACTTAGTAATTTACGTAGAATTTACTCAAATTTGCTGAGTAATTTATTCAAAATTTACTAGAAAGTTACTAAGTAATTTACTGATAATTTAATGTGAATTTTCTCAGTAATTTACTGAGAATTTACTAAGTAATTTACTGAATATTTTTTGGAAATTTACTAGGTAATTTACTAGGAATTTACTGGGAATTTACTGAGTAATTTACTGGGAATTTACAAATTAATTTACAGAGAGTTTAATGGAAATTTACTGGGAATTTACTGAGTAATTTGCAGAGAATTTACTGGGAATTTACTGAGTAATTTAATGAGTAATTTACAGAGAATTTATTGAGCAATTTACTGGGAATTTATTGAGTAATTTCATGAGAATTTACTGGGAATTTACTGACAATTTATGTGATAACCCTGCTCCATATTACGCTAATTAGTCTTAATTGTGATTGTGATTATGTGTTTGATATGATCTTGAATGACATTTATATGAATATATGTGATTTTGAATTTCTATCTGTTCACCGTAAGAAAATCTGTTTGACTTTTTGCTTTGGAATTTAAATTGAAGGCCCTATCGGCCACAGGAATCAAAATTAACTACGCCCTTGTGATTGGCATAATTTTTAGAGCCTACAGTGAAATTTGATTGAAATTTGATTCGGATAAAATTAAATAGATTAAATTAATGAAATTGTGCTCAATTATTTAATATTAAAGAAATGTATTTGAGAAGGAGCTTATAAGGGCCAATTTACACCCTCATTGTAACAACCCTCACCTTACTCTTGTCATACTTGCATACATTCATGCATGATCTTGTCTTGATATGTTGTTTCGCTAGTTTTGCCTTGCCTTGTTTTGGCTAAGTATTGCTTGCATGATTTTGTTCCTTGCTCGGCGTCAGATTTTATACTTTAGAGAGAGAGAGAGGGTCAGTTAGAGAGAGATAGGGTGAAGGCAATTGAAGATTGTGCAAGAAACTTGAATAAATTGAAGACCAACTCAAAAATTAATCATAATTTGGAAGATTAAAGCTCCTAGGTGAGTAAATTCATGAGTTTGAGCTTGTGATTTTGTGAATTCAAGTGGTTTAGTAGCTCATGGCAAAGATTGAGTTGAAATTGGAGTTAGAATGTGCATGCATGCATAGAATTATCATGAATTGGCAAGAATTGTATAATCTATCATGTAGCTTGTTAATTATGAAGAATTGAGTTGTTGGATCATACATGCAAGCATGATTTGGATGAGTTTTATGTGTGTAAGCATCACTTGAGCCATTTGAAACGAAATTGGAGTTAAAAGATTACATGCATGTTTGATTAATGAAGACATAGAGTAATGTGAAGTTGAATACACATGTTTTGAAACTATGAAGAGAAATGTTGGTTAATTTGAGAATTTGATCATGGTTTTAAATAATTGGTCCCAAACCTCCTATGATCTCATGCTAGGTATGCATTTCTCATGTTTTTGGTACCTAAATTCGAGCTTTGGAGCCTTTGAATATCAAGTTTGAGCCTCAAGAACAATTTTGGATTTTCCAGAATTTGGCATGTCCGCTTGAGCGGGGAAAGTGTCCTCGAGCAGGAAATACGAGCTCCAGAACTTTTGCAGACATGGATGTCTGCTTGAACGGGGAAGTTCACGCTCGAGCGTGGAGCTATGTAGAGTGACCTTCAGCTCGAGCTTCCGAATCCATGCTCGAGCATAAAAATGAGGCAACCAGTACTTTTGCAGACTTAATGGGTCCGCTCGAGCGGGAAAGTCCACGCTCGAGCGGGGACCCCTGTTTCAGAAATTTTATAAAAAGTGTTCTATGTTTCATTTTCCGTTCTCTTTCACTTCTAAGTACTCTTAGGCATGCATTAAGCATTATGAACGAATTAAAAAGGATAAGAAAGAAACCTAAGAGGGGTGTATGAATTAAGAACGGATTGAATCATTTGTGACCCATGTGTGTTATGTAATGTGTGGAGTCGAGCTCAAGGGTGAATCCACCGGTAGAACACTGTAAGTAATATCTTAATAAAGATATTTTGAAGTATGTCATTTGTCCAATCCCTTATTTCCCTATAAGTCTTATAAGCTTGTTAATTTGAATTGTGGACAAATGGTTGCTATGCCATATGGTTGGGCCTAAGGCAGTCTGCTATGAATGAAAGAATGAATGGGCCAGAGGCCGTTGGATATGAATGAATGGGCCAGAGGCCGTTAGATATGAATAAATGGGCCAATGAATGGGCCGGAGGCCGTTTGATATGTTCGGGCTTGAATCGCCTAATGTACTGAATAGTACATGAAGTAGAATACTAAATAGGCCCAAGGCGGTTTGATATATGTTGTAACAACCCTCACCTTACTCTTGCCATATTTATTTGATTTATTGCTTCCGCATTTGTGAGCCCCCTATATTCATACTCTGATTGTGTTAAGTTTTGAAAAGTTGGCCTTCGGTAATTACGGATTACTGGCCATCACGGCACCAAACTACTAGGGGCGGTTTGGGGTCGTGACATATGTGATTCTCATTCATGTACTTTCTTTATTTGATATTATTCACTGGGCTTTCGCACATGCTCATTCATGTGTATGTAGGTGAGCCAAGGGATGTCCAAACCCAACCTCGGTGAAATATGTGACAAATAGTCAAGGTTTTGAAGAGTCAACCCAACGTCTCACGCACGAGACTTGTCTTTGCCGCTTTTGTTCTTTTGTTACAGTTTTGTTACGTTGGCGAAAACATTGAACTACTTTTGTATATAAACTTTGGATTTGACTGACTTAGACTTAAATGATCCTGTATGTACAGTTTATATGTTAATTTCCCTTTTGATGTGAGCTATTAACGAATACTTATGTGAAATGTTATGATGTGCATATAAGCACAGCTCTATAGATAAAGTTTTAAATTTGCTTCCGTTTGACCCTTTTACTCTAATGAGTTATATCTTTTGTTTTGGTTTGAGGCCATAGGTAATTCCTCGATTACTGGCCGGTTATGACCTTAATCCATAGGGGCGGGTTCGGGTCGTGACAATTTACTTGGAATTTACTGAGTAATTTACTGAGAATTTAATGTGAATTTACTGGGAATTTACTGAGTAACTTACTGAGTATTTTCTGGGAATTTACTGAGTAATTTAATGAGAATTTATTGAAAATTTACACAGTAATTTACTGGGAATTTACTGAGTAATTTACTGAGAATTTACTAGGAATTTACGGGGAATTTACTGAGAATTTACTGGGAATTTACTCAGTAATTTTCTGAGAAGTTATTAGGAATTTACTGAGAATTTATTGAGAATTTACTCAGTAATTTACTGAGAATTTACCGGTAATTTACTGAGTAATTTAATAAGAATTTATTGGGAATTTACTGAGTAATTTACAGGTAATTTACTAAGAATTTACTGAAAATTTACTAAGTAATTTAATGAGAATTTACTGAAATTTGCTGAGTAATTTAATGAGAATTTACTGGAAATTTACTGAAAATTTACCCGAGCCGAGCCGTGCCGGGCGCGGGTGTGGGGTGTGGGGTGGGTCGGTTCTAATATTAATTTTTTGGACAAAAATTTATTTGAATTTTTCAAATTTCAAATTTAAATTTAAATTTAAATTTTTGTTTTCCTAAAGTTGTACCTCTTCCAAAACTATTCCAACAGTTTTAAAAAACTGTTTCAACAGTTTAAAACATTGTTCCAGCAATGGATATATTTTCAAACTGTTTGAAAAAAATGTTCCAAGAAGCAACGAATAGATTCAGTTTGTTCAAACAGATTCAAACTGTTTGACAGTTTGAGTTTCACACCTGTTGGTTTCAAAATAGCACTCGTTCGGATCAAAATTTTTTCCTATAAATACAGATCTGTTCCAGCAGTCTCTATATCCATAAAATCAATATGAAATATTGTTCTTGCTGTCCAGATTTTATTTATTTACATTATTCTTCATATTAGTTATTTAGAGAAAAATAAAGAGAGTGTAAGAACACAAGGTTCTAGTTCGCCGTACAAATTTATTTGGAGTGCTACTACAAATTTGTGAAGATCATTGTATCATCAGAGCTAGACGCCACATAACCGTAAGCACCGTAGCGGGGCGAATCTGTCTTAAGGATAGAGTATCACACACTCGACTTGATCTTTTATTTTTTGTTTGGTTCGACAAAATAAATTCTATAAGTTTTTATTTTATTTTGTTTGATTCAGTTTCAATTTATTTTATTTACACAGAAGATTGTTCCAACAACAACCACCTCACTACTGTTCAACAATGCATAGGACAATTGAATCTCATTTGGGTTATCTATGTATGCAAAGTAAGGGTACACATTGACTAGCAAAGGGCTCTTATTTTCTGCTAAAAATGAAGTGATTTGTCCCATTTCATAGCTCACATCCTCTGAGAATTCCCCTTTAGAAGGAGGGTACGAAATCCCAAGGATTTGTGTTGAAACCGATGTGCTTACTTGGATGTTTCTTAGATTAGCTGATTCTAAAGCTGTTTTGAGATTTTCCATGGCTGGGAAAACATATGCGGATAGGTCACCGGGGATGACTTGGTTGCCAGCAGATATGCAGAGGAATCGAATTGTGTCCGAGTATGGAAGCATGTCGGTGTTGATCCAAGTTGTGGCATGTGAAACCTTAGTTGGTAGGTCTTGGAGGTCTTGGTCTAATGTTCCGAGGATGACTTCAATTCTTGAATTTTTCAGAGCTGTGAGTACATCGAGGTTTGGGGCGAAGAGGCGTGTTTTCATTATGTTTCTTGATTTTAGAAGTGCAACGACTTGGTTTGGTGGTGGGAGGTTGTTTCCTAGTAGGCCATAGTTTACTCCAATTACTCCAGCTTTTGCATTAAGACGAATCATGATTTGCACAAATTGAACATGAAGTATAAATCTGTCTAAAAGCATAGAATTTTGTGAAAAATAGTATACAGAATACAGTTGGCTCCGCCATGATAAACACAACAGTATAGATATGTGCACATAATTCATACACAGAAATAAACTTAGAAAAATGATGTTTATTTTTTTTGTAGTAGCCATACCTTATAAATCCGGACCATACATTAAACCTTTTGAATATTTTTTTGGGCAACAATTCTATGTCCATGGCATTGTTCTAAGCACTTACAAGGAGTGTGTGGGACTGACTCCTTGTCTTGTGAGTGTTATGTGATCGATTTTATGACCGGTTTGTACATACTTTTTCGATTAAGTAAGAATTAAAAAATAAATAAAATGAAGGCAGAAATGAAGTGGTATACTAGCAGATATGTTCAACTGAAGCATATAGAAGGCGGCTGTGCAATGATAAAGCCAGCCCATTCTTGAGAATTCTCTATATAGGCTCTAAAGATGGGATTTATTTGGATAAACCCAAATGAAGTTGGAGAATTCTTTAACTGAAATGTGAATATGTAGAAAGATGATGAAACTCAACGCAAAATTAAAAAAATAAAAATAAATAAAAAACAATTTTGCAGTGCTATATGGTACCCGTTAGTCTAAGTTATTTAACCATGATGGCTACGAAAGTGACTAGATGGACAATTTGTCTGCATATTTTACATTTTTTTTTGTTTTTTTTTTTGGTAGGGACTCTGAAGGCTGCTAATCTCTCTTGAACAAGAAGCATTTTGTGTTGATCTAGTTTGGATTATTAAGAAGGAAAAATAGATGTTTGTACTCAATGAGGTGAAGAGTATTCTGTGATGGAAAAAGCAAACCTAGGCCATTCACCATCAAACATGGATGACTGTAAATAAGAGTTGCATTAGTAGTGTGAGATCCAAACATTGCATTTAGAATTGGATTTGAATAAGCTGCATTGGCTGTTTTTATTTTTTGCACAAACAAACAATTAATAAATAAACAACGATTTAACAATCTTCAATCATATATATTCATGTTTGTGTACTTTGCATTTGGTCAAGGGGCTCCTTGTTATCAAATTTTTCTGTTCTCTTATCTCAAAACACTTACAATACCATTGCATCATTGAAACTTTTGAATTACATTAATCTCGAAACATAATTCAATAAATGTAAATGTTCCGAGATAAGGGACGAATAGATTTAAGACAGTGAATCCCATGTCTTTGCATTCTACATTTTTTGTGTCAAAATATGTTTGCTATTGGACATTGACGAATATGCACATCACTTAGCATTGTAAATTAACTGAGGTAAGTCAAATTAAATAATAATTTGTTGGAAGTATACTTAAAATTTAACCAATTTCAAAATAAATTTAAGTTTGACTTGTTTACATAATAAGTTTGATAATTTTTTAAAAATCGACCAAAAATTGAGCTCGTAAAATATATAAATATATCAAGTTGAGTATTATATTATTCAAATTTAAATTAAAAATTTAACAAATTTTAAGCTGTAATAAAATTTAACTTAATTATATATTAATTAATCTTAAATCAACTTTTAACAAATTAACTCGAATTCGAATATTTTGATTGTTTTTACAAAATCTACGAATCACATGATCATTGAGAGATAATACAAAAGCATACACAAGTAATCAGATTGTAACCCAAACAGAATTTGCTTTTTTCTTCAATTACACAAGGAACAATTAGACTATACAACATAGGGGCTCCTTGTTATCAAATTTTTTCTTCTGTTTGATTGTCCCTGGACCAAGGCTGTGTGGTTTGGCAGCTCCTTAAATATGCGAATGGATCAAGGCTCGATAACAAATGTGACCAAGTGGACCAACGATCTGTTGCAAGGCGGTACTCCGAAGAATGAATCCAAACGTCTCATCAATATTGTTGCTATTGTTGCCTGGTTCATATGGAAATCCAGAAATGATTTTGTCTTTAACCATCACCCGGTGGACCCTCATGTCACTTTGCAAAAAATCACTCATTTTTGGAAGGAATTAGATGCTCTGTCTAGCCATCCCAACCCTCCCAACCAGGCCTTAGCCGTCCCCAACCTTCACCCCTGTTTAAGTTGGCAGCCAGCTTCCCATGGTTTGGTCAAAATCAACTGTGATGCAGCTTTCTGTCAGCACTCTTCATCAGCTGCACTGGCTGTGATTCTTTGAGATTCAAAGGGCAACCTATTGGATGGTTGTGCTAAGTTTATTGCGGCTTCCTCTGCAGCACAAGCCGAGGCTCATGCAGTGCGTATGGCGTGTCTCATGGCTCAAGCCCTCAATCTCTCACAAATGGAAATCGAAAGTGATAACAAAAGGGTGATCTCTCTTTGCGTTTCCAAAACAGTTCCACCATGGGAGTATAGTGCGGTTATCATGGATATTAGAGCTCTTGCTCCTCCAAATTCTATTTTGTTTTCCTGGACTAGACGCAACAACAATGGTGCAGCCCACTGGGTTGCAAAGTCGTGTCTTTCTAAGTCCTTACCTGTAAATTGGGTTGTATGCCCACCTGCAGCTCTTGTCTCCATACTCAACTCTGATGTATCCCAATTTCCTCTTTAATTGAAAGTTTGGGAATTCAAAAAAAAACCTGCAGCTCTTGTCTCCATACTCAACTCTGATGTATCCCAATTTCCTCTTTAATTGAAAGTTTGGGAATTAAAAAAAAAAAAAAAAAACCATAGAGGAGAGAGAGGCAAAACAAACGAAGACATTCCTCTCTCTACTCTCCCTCTCCTTTGGGTTGTTTTGGGAAGATGGTAAAAAGTGATTTTTTGACTTTTAACCAAGTTTTTGACTTTTTTAGACAAATGATTTGGGAAGTTGCTAAAAAGTGACTTTTGACTTTTTTTATTAATGTTTGTTTATGATGTCAAATCATAATAAAATGACCAAACTACCCCCATTTATTTAAAATATTTACAACTTCACCTATGTAACACATTTTGACCCATGAGGGGTAAAATTATAATTTCACCGTTGACTAAAAACCAACTTCCCAAATGAAAAAAAAAAGATAAAAAAAGGTTAACTTTTAACTTTTGCTACTAATCAAAAAAAATGGCTATTGCCAAAACAACCCTTTATCTTCCAGAACCCTCCCCTGTACCTTCTAGGAGGATTAAAGACACGTTATTCCAGTTAATATTATTAATATTATTTTGCATAGACAATGTGAGTGACTTCAAAAATAATTAAAGCTTACTTAGGCCAAGTTTGGCAAGTTCAGAATAAGTCAAAAAGTCAAAAAATTACTCAAAAAGTTAAAAAGTTAACACTATTCACCAAAAGTCAACAATTACGGCTGCACAACTCCCAATTCTAATTTTCTCTTACAAACCAATTTTTACAATTTTTTATTACATATTTTTCCATAAAAAGTAAAAAAGTTAACCCAAACATCTATATTTTCTTTCTCAATTTTTTAGTTCAAAAAGACAAAAAATACACTTATTTAGGATACCCCAAACAACCCCTAAAAATCATAATTCCATTTGATTACTCAGTTTCAAGGTCTCTGAAGCTAAAATGAAATGTGGTTTAGAAATATATTATTTTAATATTTTTTTAACGTTTTATGACACGATTTAAAAAATAAAGAAATAAAGAGATTAATAATTTTTTTAACTTTTCGAGGAGTAGAAGTAAAGGACAGTGAGAGACACCCTTAAAGTATATTTGGTGACTTTTAGTTAAGAAAAAGGGAAAATATTTGAGCCACCCACTATTCTTAGGTCAAGTTTGGCTAAATTAAGTGCACTTATTTCATATTTTTATCTTTTTTAGGTCACATCAATCAACATTTCCTCTCTAGTTTTTTTACACATAATACAAGAAAAGTCAAAAAGTACACTTATTTAGTCTTTCCAAACTTGACTTTACTGTCACGTGGATTAAAGATGTATTTATATATTTTTTTTCTTTTTCTTAGTGTAGGTTGTGGAAATGATGTTTTGCGGAGTCTAAATCATTACTAAAAAAAGATTTGGGGACTTTTATTGAGTAGTGGGCCTATCATTGAAGAACACGTGTACGGGTGCATGCGAGCATTAGCCGACCGAGAGGCATTCCCTGGGTAGCAGGCGATCGTAGTCCAAAAGATGGAAAGATGATCAGGTGCAGTGTGCAGTTTGAGTTTTTTAATTGAGTTGTGCAATATACATTAATTAGTTTATTAATTATTGTATTAATACTAATTAAAATGTGAAAGCAGAGAGTAGTTATTGATTAGTTTAGAAGTAGTGCCATGTGATGCTCTGTGTGTACTATGATTAGTGAATAAAGTAAAATTTATAGTTTTATGTTAAATAATTAAATAATATAAAAAGACATAATATTTTATAATTTATCAATAATATAGTGACGTGATACCTTGGCAAATTAATAATTTTTCAAAAGTGAGACGCACCAATGTACGGCTTGCAAATGTGCCAGAAAAACAAAAAACAAAAAACAGGAAGATAATATATATACATATATATGCATGAATATTATTTTATTTAATTTTACAATTAAGGTAGTGTTTGGTTTAAAACTCAAATCATGACTTAGATTAAAAAAATTTAAAACTCTTTTCAAAATTTATAATTAAACTCTTTTTAAAACTCTATTTAAAAAAAAAATCAAATAAAATATTTTTTATTTTATTCTTTAAATTTTTTTTTTAATTTTTTAGAAAAAAATTAATTTTTATTTTATTTCTGAAGAAAAATATATTTCATTTTTTAATTTTCTTAAATATTAGCCAAATAATTTGTTATGATTTAGATATATATTGGTAATCCAAAATTTTAAAATTTTTTAAAAAAATTAAGAAAATGAAATATTTAAAAAGTAAATAAAAAATATTTTAAAATAAAATAAAATACTTAACATAAAAATTATATATTTAAAATAAAAAATAATTTTTTTAAAATTTCTAAATACTTAAAAATATATATTTGAAATATTTTGAAAAATACAAT